CACGTCCCGCAAATAGTGCTCCGACGGGACCGCACCGCCGTACTTTGTCGAGTCATCAAAGCTGCCGAACCTCTCCGGAGTTTTGGCGAGGTTGGCCGAGCGGAAGATGCCGGAGCTGGTCCGCCGGGTGTTGACCAGTAGGTGTACTTCAGCTGGTCCACCATGAACTTGGTCGTATGCGCCTGCAACAGCATTGCGAGGGCGACACGTTTTCGTTGTAGCACGGGTCGGCGCTTATGAGATCCGACATTTCCCGCAGCAACGTTTGCGGTACCATCCGCAAATGTTTTGAACAGGCTAGGAAAGCCAAGACCAGACCAACCCGTTATCTTAAGACGCTGCAGATGAGACACTGCATATTCACCTGACAAATGTTCTTGGCAGCAGCGGAGAAGCCCTTCCCATGCACCAAATCATCTGCAAGCCGGTCCACCATGCAAATCTCAATGCCCGATCGCTTGGTGAGAAGGAAAGGGAACTCCTTGGATATGTACTCCGGGAGACGCCGGAGGCACCCAGCATCCCACGCGTTGAAGCTCGTCTTACCTTTTCCGCCTACTGCTTGCCTTTATTGAACTCCGCGCACTTCGCACGCTTGTACCTGCATGTGCATGGGAGAAAACATACACCACGAGCAATATCGTCGGAAAACCACAACACGAACTCCAATCTACCAGAAACCCAGAATTCGTCGGATGCCACGAAAACATGACTGATGAAGTTTATCGAGAGAACACTCTTCTTCGCATACTGAACTTACCGAAACCCCATCACGTACGCCACGTCGTGCTCCACGAACACCCGGCGTGGCCCATTAGGGTTCCAGCCATCAGGTGCGCCCTTGCCCCCACATCCTGGACAAGGAACTGCCTGGAGCTCTGGGAACAAGAACTCCGGTATCCATACCAATACCGCCTTCTGATAAAACCGGTCGAATTTCGGTAGGTCTGGGCGCACGTAAATGTGAGGTAGATATGTCAGAACATCAGGCACGCGAGACAAAAAAAACAGCCTACCGGGGGATGGGATGTATTTTCCCTGGACGATTTCATCTGAAACGAAAGAGAGATAGCTATTTACCCCCCCCAAAAAAAAACAACTCCCCTCGGTGTTTGCCATCGGGGTTGGGTTTTCGTCGCTTGGCAACGACGTAAACTCCTCTGGCGTACCTGGTGATGGCTGAAAAGTGGCACACTTCGGACTCACGAGCGGGTTGTCAAACGGGAACCGGCCTTTCACACCACCTCCTTCGTGGGTGAATCTCCGGTCGATTTTGTCCTTCACTTCTTGAAAGAAGCGTTCCTGCGCACTGGATGTTGAAGTATCATTATCGCCGGCTATTCCACCGGCGGCTCCTCCAGCCCCACCTCCTCCTGCTCCACGACCTGGCGCTGCTGCCCCTCGCCCCCCTCCTCCACCTCCCCCNGCTGCCCCTCGCCACCCTCCTCCACCTCCCCCACGGCCGCTCATCCCCCCTCCTCTACCTCCTCCACGGCCGCTCAGCCCCCCTCCTCGTCCTTGTTGGCGCGCTCCGCGGTCGTGACCTCCGCTTGCTGCTGGTCTCGCCGCTGCCGCCCCCGCGGCGGCGGCTACTTCCGCTGCTGCTGCTGCGAGTTGTGCCGGTGTTGCTGCCCCTGTTGCGGCCTCTGGTGCCGCTGATATTGCCGGTGCTGTTGATGCTGGTACTGACCCCTCACCTATTTGAGAGGATAGCGTGCTTGGGAGGCTCATGAGCACGGGCTTTACCCTTGCCTTTGCTGGGAGGGTGCGGGACGGGTACCGCCGCCACTGCTGCTGCTGCTGCTGCTGTTGTTGTTGTTGTTGTTACGAGCTCTGTTGGTGCTGTTGCTGATCCTTCTCCTACGGCAAAGAATGGTGGTGCCCGACCTTCTTCTCCATCTACTCGAGAGTGGTCCCCCTCATCGTCCAAGCGAGGAGGCGACTGCTGTTGTGTACCGGCGAGAGGTGGAGTGGACTCGCCCATGGTTGGTGCCGCCGTGCTTGATGAACCACCAGAAACCCCACTAACGTCGACATCGCCGGCGGATGACGCGCTTCTAGCATCCGCACTGCTTCCCTCCCCACTTTGGTCTTCCCTCACCCGTGGCCGCTTTGATGATGGCTGGGCTTGCGGGTGCCGGGAAAGCATCCTTGCGAACGCGGCCGCCTGGTTCTTCTGCTGCGCAGCTATCCTCTCCCTCTCCGCATTTGTTTTCGGACCCGTTTTTTGTGCGCCATGCTTGGGTTTTGATTCTGGGCTTCGCCCCATGGGGAGCGCTGGCTCCACGGTTGCTGGGTGGTAGGGCTGTTGTGCATTCCGTTGTGGTCTGTGTTGGGTGTTGTCATCATGTTTGTTTTGTTTGTTTTTCTCCCATTATTGGACTCTGTCGTCTGCCCCTCTGGCCCCTATCCTCCATTTCTACTAGCTAGACGACCCAACCGGGGTCACATAGGAGGGGGGGGTTGGACCCCCTCCTGCGGTTCATGCCTGAGGTATTTTTATCGCGAGAAGGGTACAGCAATCCCTTCCCTCGCGACTTACGAAGTCGATTATGGTTTACTAACAAACGAGCTTTGCAGCGCGTCGCTTTCATCCTAGACCAGGATTTATTTAGTGAGAAAAAAACTCTCTTTGCCGGGACTCGAACCCATGACCTGGCCCTAAGCAGGCTGCGAGGCTACCCACTAGACCACCGGGGCGACCGGTGTGTTATCATGTGTCTCGGCGGCAGCGGCCCAATTCGGGTGCTTTGGCCCAATCACAGGTCGTCGTTTTTCATGGTCTCGGGGTCGTTTTTCATCTCGGGATGTGCTGTTGACAATAAAATTGCGTCGTTTTTCACTTTTTTGGCCATGCCTATGGCTTCAGACAATACAATACATGGTGTTAGGTACCTCATGGGGGTACCTGATTTTTTTCTCTCAGTGTTGCACGCCTGATAAAACAAAAAAATATGCGGCTCAACACAAAAAATGGCAGATGGCTAGCCCACCGGCGATCAGACGTCCGCACTGCCACCTTTGTCGGCGTACAGCGGTAAAATGGACCAGTAGCTATTCAGGAAAGCTGGTTTCGCGGAATTTCGTTGACTATAGCGCGAGAGCTGCTCAGTGCAGGCTCCGAGACTCTGCCGAAAAATGTGATCCATGCCCCTGCTGCGGCCGAACCTCCTGTGATGTGCACGCGCGGCATGCTTACCACGAGAACGCGCCCTACACCTAACCGATCGACACGAAACTTTACACAATTACGAACAATGACACGAGGCGTATACATATCGAGTATTGTGTCCAGAAGTGCTTCCGAGACTTATCGCTTGGAAAAAGAGGTATTGCGCGGATCAAGCGTGCTTATCTTTTGACGCGCTACTCGTTCGTGGTATGAGACACAGGATGGGCTTGCTGTGAGGTTTGGGGTTCTACTGCAATTTGAACTTTGGTGCAACACGCAGTACAGGTGAAGTAATTGCAAATGGCGTGCGTCCATATTTGAACTGAAAACGGTTACTTTATCTCCTACAGCAGTGTCCTGTAGTGTTGCGCCGCCGTACACACACACATCGAAAGACAAACAACGTCACGTAAGAAAAATACGGCGCACACGCACGCAGCAGCAGCTGCGGCCGTCAGGATGCCCCGTTGGGGCCCGCACGGGCATGTATCCCTTTTGTACTCCGGTGAAATCCGTCTGGTTAATGGAGTTGTGTCGTCGTGCGTCTTTCGAAAACAAGTAAAGAACGAAACAGACCGAAACACAACATATTCGAAGGACCGCTACGTGAGTTCGCGTGTTTCCATTCAGACTCCCCCACCCCCCCACCCCCCGCCCGCAAGAACAAGAGATTTGCTCACAACTTTAATGAACGTGAGATAAATCGTCAGGTGGACCTACTAACGCAGAGAATATACACACAAAAAAAATGAGGGTAAAACAACGTCGTTTGCCGTGTGTGTATCTTTGTGCACACCATGATGATACCGTAGGCCCAACGCAAGAACTTTAAACTTGACGAGTAAAGGAATCCGACACTATATATCTACAGCACATGTAACCTTGAGAAAATATAAGCACTTGAATCGCTACATTCCCTGACGCGGGGAGCAATAAGCGCAGGGAGACATAATCAATACTCCCGAAACCCCGCCGTGCCACTGCCTAAACCCTGCACCAACGCCATTGTTGCCGCAGCCGATATCCGCTTCACCCGGAACCATGCTCGAAGCCCAAGCTGGGGTCCAAGCCAGTAAGTCCTGACCAACGCCGAATGGGGGAGCCGCCATTGGACGAAATCATCTCGCGGAAGTTTGTTACCTGAAACACGGTACGCAGACCGCATTATGTGGGCTCGGTATGGCACCGGCGCGATACACCAACATGATCACTAGGCGACGAACAAAATATAGGCGACATCAACACTCGCACATGTCTACACAAGAAGAAAAATTTACAGCGATACGTCGCCTCAGATTTTTCCTCAGGTGTTATGAGCTGCGTCGGATACACATGTGCATACGAACAAGGAAATCATTTGAGCATGTGCCTGTTCACAGCATTTTTAACACATTTGCTTCACCGCTACAGGTTGAGATAGTTCTACTTTCCAAAACATTATCGTGACATCCTGACGATACAAGTTCGCTCGTGTGCACATCGTTCCAACAACCGAGCCCCCTCAGTCAAAGGATGGCCCGGGATATTTAAGGGGACACCGTGTGCGTTCGACCGGTGTATGCCCTCCGTTAAACCTTTACCCTTCAAAAACAATCTGGAGAGCATGCCGTTCCAGCATCGGAATGGGTTGCCACGACTTGGAAAAAAAAACTACATAGAAACGTCGTATACTCTTTTACGCGAGGGACGGGTAAATGTTGTGTTGTATATGTTGGAGATTATCGCGTCTTGTGGCAAGTTTGAGCATAATCTTAAGATGACTCTCAAGTCGAAATAATATGCTTACCTTGCGGAGTTCAGATTCGACGCATGCCCAAGGGCTGTCCTCACTTGAGCTGCTCAACACACTGTCGACGGCGGCGCGGCGAAGTGTCCGCTCGAAATCCTTGAACCGCCGGTCTCCCTCCGCTTGGTCCAGCCCCTTTGTAATCTGATCCACCGTATGAGATCTGCGTCTCCTGAGCGAAGCGGCGTCTTGCATCCTACCCACATCGTACCCCACCGTCACAGCTGTTGCGGCTATGAACGAAATATTATGCGGTCCTTCCCCCTGGCGCTCACCGACCCGCGGGTCGTGATCGCAGTTGTCGTTTGCAATCGCCGCACATTGGGCCCCCTTGGGGAGAATGTCCTTGTCCTCAACGACGTTCGCATGATAGTCCTCTCGATGTTGCACTTGTGAAGTCGTAGCCCACCAGCCGTGCCCTGCTACAAAGTCGATATCCTGCCGGCAGGTCCCCTTTGACTTCGCCCACTGAGCACCTTTGATGTCCGCCGCTGTCAAGTCTCGACCAGGAAAAACCGCCTTCACCGTGCACTTGCAAAGCATGTACAAACGCCGTGCGAAGCCTCNTTGCACTTGTGAAGTCGTAGCCCACCAGCCGTGCCCTGCTACAAAGTCGATATCCTGCCGGCAGGTCCCCTTTGACTTCGCCCACTGAGCACCTTTGATGTCCGCCGCTGTCAAGTCTCGACCAGGAAAAATCGCCTTCACCGTGCACTTGCAAGGCATGTACAAACGCCGTGCGAAGCCTCGCCTATCCTGGTTGGTTTTTTCGATGGAAATGGCAGCTGCCTCGGAAGTCGGCCCAGCAGAATCCACCTCCTCTGCCCGGGTGGCATCGCGAGTGGGGGCTTGCCGCTCACAGGCGGCTCCTTCAAGCGCGTCGGCTCCATCGCTCCCATCATCCTCTCGCCGTACACTCCCCGCTGCGCTTGGCTGTGGACCGTCTGTTTTTATTTCATCCCACGCCCAGCCCCGGCCGGGATCCTCATTCCCTATATCGGTAATCTTGGGGTACAGGGGCATGTTCGTCGAACCTTGGAAGAGTCCAACCAATGTCGGGGGCATCTCAGCTAGGGCATCTCGCACTGGTTTCACGGGTGCGGCCAACTCCACGCTGTACTTGTGCTTTTGCCGTCGGATGCCGGAATTCTTGAGATCTGAATGCTGATCGACATCGGCCCGGACAATTTCCGCCGCCGCACGCACGATCTCCATCCTCGCGTCTGCCTCTTTCGCTTCTTCGAGAAGACGCCTCACTATCTGCAGGGACGTATTTCCACCGGACGTGGCGTTTGCGGGCGTGCTCGGACCATCGAACGTGTTCGCCAGGCGCGCCCGTAGGGCGAGGGATGCGATAACCTCGTCCCGAGCGTTGACCGGGAAGAGACACAGTATTCGTTGGCGCCCGTCTCCAAAGCCCCCCTCGCTGCTGACCACCCGTGCTTGGCTCCCATCAGCGCTCGCGATGCTCTCGAACTTCTGGCGCACGGCTTTCCGCCCGCTCCTACGCTCAAGTTCGTGGTCACCATCCTTTGCGCGCTCAGCTGAGAGCCAGTCGAACACATCCTCCCAGTAAAGGATGTCCCCGCGAGCTACGGCTGTAATCACCAACGCGCGCAACCGGCTGAACGGCTTCTCCGGCGCCGGTTCATCGACTTTAGGTCGGCCCGAGTTGCTCGATGTCGCAACCTTTTTTTGAGTAGCTTCTCCGATGGCCCGGATTCGATCTTGATTGCAGGCCTGGCAGTACCAAGCTTGCGTGCGTCCTGATCCACCACCCTCCGTTATGTTATCGTCCACGACGTCCACACTGTACCACCTCTTCTGGTCCTTCACAGAGTACCCTCTCTTGCACACGCTACATCGGAGCTCCGGCTTTGCTTCCCTCTCGAGAAGAAAACCATAGAAAAAATCTCGGCGTTGGCAAATGCAGTCGTTGCTGGGACAAAATCCTCGCACGAAAGGTAAAGGCAGCTCCCCCTCTCCTGCTTGGTACTCGGCCAAAAACAACCGTGTCGCTTGTTCAAGCCGTGGCCCTCTGAGGTGCGTGGAGCCAGCTAAGCCCTCCGACCTACGGCATGCGGAGCATAGCTTGTCACTGACGGCGTGCACTACGCCTGAGGGGNAAGGTAAAGGCAGCTCCCCCTCTCCTGCTTGGTACTCGGCCAAAAACAACCGTGTCGCTTGTTCAAGCCGTGGCCCTCTGAGGTGCGTGGAGCCAGCTAAGCCCTCCGACCTACGGCATGCGGAGCATAGCTTGTCACTGACGGCGTGCACTACGCCTGAGGGGCACACGCTGCATTCGAGACCCGGGTTGTTTGTGAACCAACCGCACTCCGCACGCCTACAAGGTTTCTTGCATGTTTTTTCTCGGCTCCGATCGGAGTATTCCTAACTCCAGGATCAGACTGTCTTCGCGCTGCACTCCGCTTGACGGAGCGAGAGCCAGCTGTTCCGAGTTTTCCACCGTAACTTCGACGCCGGAATTCAACTGTCCGCTTGCCTCCAGACTCCAACTTCTCACGTTCAGCTTCGGCAATCTCTCGCTCTCTGCGGACCTNCATGTTTTTTCTCGGCTCCGATCGGAGTATTCCTAACTCCAGGATCAGACTGTCTTCGCGCTGCACTCCGCTTGACGGAGCGAGAGCCAGCTGTTCCGAGTTTTCCACCGTAACTTCGACGCCGGAATTCAACTGTCCGCTTGCCTCCAGACTCCAACTTCTCACGTTCAGCTTCGGCAATCTCTCGCTCTCTGCGGACCT